ACTCCCTTTAGTCTAGATTACCCTGGCGGAAGTGGGGGGCAGAGAAGAGGGGGGAGGGGGGGAGGTAGTCTAGATAAATGATAAGTCTCTTAGACCAAGACTAAGTGATCAGAGTCAAGTTCCCCAGACCCTCATTAGAATAAGCCCACTTCTCATTATAATATTCATTCTCTCATTACTTGTTAACCAATCAGAGTTGATTGCCATTCTCAGGAACACCCACTCTTCCAAGGGCATGTAAGTGTTGAGTGGATTCCGTAAGGGGTCTCTGGCATTCTAGAGTGCCACTGAACCCTTTTATTAATTATTGTTAGCATGATTAATGAAATGATTAATTACTCAGAAGCCATATCTCCAAACTTTTTATACATCACAGTAGGATGAGTATGAAGAATCTAGGATGTCATTCGGTGACTAGGAAGATGGCGGTGCCCTGGACAGTAATAGGAAAGATGGAAAGAAGGGAGGGTTTGAGGAGGAAACAATGAGTTCTGTCTTATATATGTTCAATTGGAGACGCCCAGAGAGCATCCAGTTTGAGATAGCTTAATTCCAAGCTTCACTTCATTTGGCAGGTCCTATTATGAAGAGAAAAAACCCCAAAAGACAAGAGGTTTAGGAAAAGGAGGGTAGAAGACCATAGCATTTCAGCAGCAGCAACAACAACAGCAACAAACATGTTTATCTAGCACCTACTTTCCATAATTTCTCAATGCTTTTGGCCTGAAACCAGTAATACCTAACATTCCTGGGAGGTAAAAAGAGATTCTGGACTATTTGAGACCTGGGCAAAAGAACCAGTAAGTGAATTATCCTCAGCAAGGCAGTGATAGGATAAATCCAGGAATCTCATTCTTCATAGAATTCAGGGTTGGTCTGAGGTACCACCTCACAGTTATCAGCGTGGCTAATATGACAGAGAAGGAAAATGATAAATGTTGGAGACGATGTGGGAAAATTGGAACACTACAGGCAGCTAGGTAGCACAATGGATAGGGCTCCAGAGTTGGAGTCAGGAGGACCTGAGTTTAAACTTGGCCTCAGACACTTGACATTTACTAGCTATGTGACCCTGGGCAAAGTCATTTAACCCCAATTGCCTCACAAAAAATAAATTGGAACAGTCGTGCATTGTTGATAGAGTTGTGAACTGATCCAACCATTCTGGAAAGCAATTTGAAACGATGCCCAAAGGCTATAAAACTGTACATATCTTTTGATCCAGCAATACCACTACTAGGTCTGTATCCCAAAGAGATCATAAAAAAGGGGAAATGACTCACATATACAAAAATATTTATAGCAGCTCTTTTTGTTGTGGCAAAGAATTAGAAATTGAAGGGATACCCATCAATTGGGGAATGGCTGAACATGTTGTGGTATATGAGTGTACTATTGTGCTATAAGAAATGATGAGCAGGCAGACCAGAAAAAACCTGGAAAGACTTGTATGAACTGATGCTGAATGAAGTGAGCAGAATTAGGAAAACATTGTACATAGTAACAGCCATATTGTGTGATGATCAACTGAGATTAGACTTGGTTCTTCTCAGCAATGCAGTGATCTAAGACAACTCCAAAAGACTCATGATGGAAAATGCTGTCCACATACAGAGAAAGAACTACGGAGTCTGAATGCAGATAGAAGTGTACTATTTTGACTTTTTTTTTTGTTTTTTCTTTCTTGTGGTTTTCCCCTTTTGTTCTGATTCTTCTTTCACAACATGACTAATGTGGAAATATGTTTAAAATGATTGTATGTGTATAACCTATATCAGATTGCTTGCTGTCTTGGGGAGGAGAGAAAGGGAAGGAAGAAGAAAAATTTGGAACTCAAAATCTTGTAAAAGTGAATGATGACAACAATCTTTACATGTAATTAAAAGTATTATTAAGTGCACAAAAAAAGAATTCAGGGTTGGTCAGGACTTCATAGAACATATATTCCAATCCCCTCTTTTTTTTAAATATGAGGAAATTGAGACCTGTGGAGGTTAAGTGATTTGCCCAAGGTCACCCAGGTTATAAATAATGGAGCTGCAATTTAAACCCAAAGGATTACAGATATAGAACTAGAAGGATCCTCAGAGGTCATCTAGACCAGTCCCATCATTTTATAGATGAGGAAACTGAGACCCAGAGCAGTAAGGTGATTTGCCTAAGGTCACGCAGCCTTTAAGTAGCAGAGCTGGGAGTCACCAATCGTTTTATTGCACTATGAAAGAAGGTTGAATTTGGAGTCAGAGTAGCTGAGTTCATGTCTTAGTATGCAACTTACTGCTTTTGACCATGAGCTAGTCACTTCTCAGAATCTCAGGTTCTTCATTTGTAAAATGGGGATAACATTCCTGTTCAGTCATGTCTGACTGTTTGTGACCCAATTTGGGGTTTTCTTGGGGAAGACATGGGAGTACTTTGCTATTTCCTTCTCCAGCTCATTTTACAGATGAGGAAACTGAGGCAAACAGAATTAAGTCACTTGCCCAGGGTCATATAGCTAGTAAGTGTCTGAGGCCAGATTTGAACTTAGGAAGATGAGCCTTCTTGGCTCAGGCCTGGCACTCTGCACTATGGTGCCACCTAGCTGCCCCTTGTTTCCTTCTTTACCTATCTCATAGAGTTTTGGGAGGACTAAATGAGGTCACACACATGCAGGTGCGCACACATACACACATATACATTGTGTGAACATGAGTTTTTATGATCTCATTTTCATATACCTTTCTTCAGGCCACCTGATATAGTCTGACATGCTCTCCAACCAGTGCTGGAGCATATATTGCGCCGCTTGCACCAATGACTAGTAAATAAAATCATCTTAGAAACCACTGGCCTAGACTGAGCCCAGGCCACACTGTTTTTTAAGAGAGCACTACGGAAACCACTAGATTGTATGTCCCTAACTAACTGTACCAGTTAAATACCAAATCCCATGCTCCAGCTGGATAAGTAGATCAGCATGGTCAATCCAGGGACTGTGCCTTCTAATTCTTATATATTCCCTTATATATTCTAATTCTTATATATATACTTATATACAGTATACTGCTGTATACACATCTGGTGTTCAGATTGGTTGTGGTCCTTTGTGCTTGAAGAGGACAAAAATGACATTACTATGCCGCAGTTAATGTACAGCGTGTCTGACTGTGCCTGGCCAGACCAATACAAGCTTGGAAGGCTCTCCCACAAGTGGTCACAAATAATCCGTATGAATGGAGGTGTCTCTAAATTTGCACAGGTGTTCAGAACGTGCAACTTGAATGATTGAATTTATGAAGCATACATCTTAAAATGTCATTTTCAGGGTCTCTAGGAAAACCTTCTTGCATGAATCATGTAATATATGCAATATATGCAATATATGCAAATCTTATGCAGATGATGACTATTACAAAGTTCATATTTCAAAAAAAATTGGTCTTAGTTTGAAAGGAATAAAATATAACTTAGTATTTTAAATGTGGGAACATTGTGCTGAAATTCAAGAATTTTCTAATGAAATCATTTAGTGTGTATGCAGTAACATGGGCATTAGCTTTAGATTTCCCTGGTCTCAATAAAAAGTTCAATTCAATAAACACTTATTAGCCACTAGACTTGTGCCTGAGGTAGATAATATTTTGGTACCATGTGAAAGATGGTTGTAGCGGGGAACAACTAGAGTCAGGGGAACCAGTTAGGACGCTATTACAATAGTCCAGGTGAGAGGTGACAAGAGCCTAAACTAGGAGGTCAAGGAGGATGAAGACTGGAAAAAAAGGCATTGAATTTGGCAACTTGGAGGTTAATGTTAAGCTCTGAGAGAGCAGTTTCAGTAGAAGAGTAGGAATGGAAAACACTCAGATATAAGTGGGTGGTGAGACACTGGAAATGGCAAGAGGTAATTATCTTGCTTCCTCCAAGGCAGCTCACATCCCACCTTCTGCAAGAGGCCTTACCTTGCCTTCTCCCCATCCTGTCACCATCCTTCTTTTCAGATTATTTTTTATCAGCAGCTCTTTTTGTGGTCACAAAGAATTAGAAATTGAGGGGATGCCCATCAGTTGGAGAATGGCTGCACAAGTTGTGGTATAAGAATGTAATGGAGGGGCAGTGAGGCAGCACAGTGGATAGAGCACCGGTCCTGAAGTCAGGAGGACCTGAGTTCAAATCCGGCCTCAGACCAAACACTTGACACTTACTAGCTGTGTGACCCTGGGCAAGTCACTTAACCCCAATTGCCTAAAAAAACACAAAAAAACAAAAACAAAAACAAAAAGAATGTAATGGAATACAATTGTGCTATAAGAAATGATGAATTGGTGACTTCAGAAAAACCTGGAAAGGCTTAAATGAACTGATGCAGAGTGAAGTGAGCAGAACCAGGAGAACATTGTACACAGTAACAGCAACATTGTACACAGTAACAGCAACATTGTGCGATGATCAACTGTGAATGACTTAGCTCTTTTCAGCAATATAACCTACATCTAGGAGGCCAGGTCATAATAGCTACCATTTGGGCAAAGGTGAATGGGGAAGGCTGGACTGAGGTTTTGAGTACAGTGGGAAAGATTTGGAGCAGATGCTACAGAGTATGGAAAAAAAAATTACTGAGCAAAATTGAGGGCCCAGTTGAATTTAAATAACATGAATAGATAGTGAACCCAGGCCATAAACTTGAGAACAGAGAAAGCAGATGATAGGGGTGGGCTTAATGGGGAAGTGGGGAGGAAAGGATGGGGGGAAGGAAATAAACATTTATATAACATTTATACAGCACCTCCTATCCTAAGCACTTTACAAATGTTATCTCATTTGGCTTGATACCAACATCCTGTTCAGGTTCAATGTTGGGACTAAATGAGCCACTCATAAGTTGTTGGACAGTTAAAAGGAGGTTTACTTTGCCCTAGTACAGAAAAGGTATGGTGGCAACAAGGATACAGCGGCAGTTTCTCTGGATGTAGCCCCCCCACCCCCACCCCCCGGCATAACTGGTGACTTGCATCGTCTTCAGAAATCCATGTCAATCTGGGTGGGGCATTTTATATCTTTAGGTCATCAGAAAGCTGTGTCAAGGGAAACCAGGGTCAATCAAGTTCCAGGGACACCTTTTAGGGAAAACTAATTCCTATGGCAGGGAAATGGGGAACCCTGGTCCTCTCACATAGGTGTTGTCAAGGATTAAGGATTTGCAGATTGGTAATGGCAGGTCAAAGGGGTTGAAGGACTCTAGAGAGGTGGGGTGTATTGAAGTGAATTGACATGGATTTCAGGCTGGGCAGGGTGACAAGTGAAATCAGCATGAAGGTGATCTACTGGGATAATAGGGACAGAATGAGGGATTGAGGGGAGGGCAAAAAAAGATGGAGTGAGGGACCGAGAGAGAAGTGAAAAGGGCCAGAACTGGCCAGACAGAATTTCAAAACCAGGATCTTAGAGTTGGATCCAGGTGACGGTGGAGGTTAAGATACAGTCACAGTTGGAGGTGCCTGGAATGAAGATGAAAATGAAATCATACCCGTGTACTTTAAAGGCAGGTCTGTCCCATTAGGAATGTACCCATTCTTCCTCCTTGTTCCTTTGGTTTTATTTTCTATTAACTCCACTAGGGATTTCCATCAAGCTTTTGTCCCAGATGGCCGTTGAACTATTTCCCATCCTGAGGTTTTCTGGGAGAACCAGCAGGGAAGGGCTTGAGTACTTACTTTCTATGTCCCTACCCTTCACCCCAACCTAGTCATCAAACTGTTGGAAATCAAAAGGAGATCCCATTAGGAAAAGTTGAGGGACCCCCTGAGCTACTTGATCACACAAACTGAAATATCCAAAAAAGAAACAAAGTTGCATATTGCCCTGTAATGACTTATTCAAACATAATTTATAGGGCCAAAGGTTAAATAAACATCTGATATAAAAATTGTTCATACGTGTCATAACAGAAAAAAAGTTTTAAAGATTTATAGGCAAGTATAGATATATTTATCACAATATAGAATAAACAGGGAGTGGCCTTATGTGCTGGTTCTCTCTTCATTTAATAATTCTCATAAACATACAATCTCCTAACTGGCTAAACTGAACCTCCTTAATTCTTAAATTAAAAAATAAATTGAGAATATGATGTGTTAGAAGTTTTCTTTAAATAAAGACAAAGGCATTTAAGAATAAGGAAACTTAGGGTCAAAAGTCTTCTAGACTGAGGTTCTTAGATTGGGTCTGTTGGTCCAGGACTCCTTGGCCAAGTTTTGCAGCAAACAGTGAGATGATTTCATCATTCCCTGTCTTCAGAGCCAAATCATATGCTGACTGTCCTTCTTCATTTTTCTTTTGAATATTTGCATTGTATCTGCAAATGAAATATATGAAAGTAGAAGTGGTTTGGGGAAAGGGTGTCTAATCAGCTATATCCCATATATCATAGACCTCAGTCTAACTGACCTTTGTGCCATCTAGCTTTCATATAGAGGTTATGATTGTATCTGGCATAAGACATACATGTACATTTGGTAAATAAAGAAAAGCATAAGATCTGCATATTTTATACTTCATTTATATTGCATTTCATAAAAAATACAATTCTAAATCTCAGGCATTACATCAGGTATACTGAAGGCAAACAACAAAAGGGCAATGATTTTATCGTGCCTTGAAAATTCTTTATTTATCAATGCAGGGTTACACTGGTCTAAAAGGCAAAGTAGAGCTCTTTCTATAGTGGCAGCTCTTTAATACCCTGAGAACTCCTTTTAGGTTCTCTTTTCAGCCAGATTGTTTCTATGCCCACATTTCAGTTCCCTCTTTTCAATATCTGACTCACCCAAGAACCAATGAACTTACCTCAATAGAGCGGCTATGCATTTCTTTCCTTCTGGCCCCAGCAGACATGCTTCATGAAGAGCTGTGTTTCTGAGCCTGATTGGAGGAAGAGGAAAGTCTGTTTTACTCCTGAATAAGGCTTTGGTATCAACAGGAATACATACTGTGAGGAGAGGATGGGCACTAGTGGATAGGTACTGCATAACGCTAGGAACCAACATGGATTCTACCTCAAACTCTACCACTGACATACTCACTAATTGTGGAAGATCACATCAGTTTCCTCCTTTATCCTTTGCTTATAGAGAAGCTGTGAAGATGAATGAGTTTAAATTGCAGCGAGAAAGAGAAATCTTATAAATATTAATTTAAAAATGTTAATAGGAATAAATACATATGACCCTTGTATCAAAGACATCCTCCTTATACAAAGGGTATAGATATATATGTGTGTGTATGTCTCTACATATAAATATATGTGTGTGTATATATATATATATATATATACATATATATGTACACATACACATTTTGAGAACTTCTTACTTCTGTGATTTATTTGTCACTGTGCAGGTGAAATCTGGGAACTTCAGAAGATAGCACTCCTTCTAAGTTTCCCTTACAACCACTTATGCTTACAAGGCTTCAAAACATACAGTAAAAACCATAGAAAAAACTCACATCTGAGTCTATGGTGAGTCAAGAAATCCCTTTCTCTTTGAGGTGGGCCTCCACCTCTTCCTTACTCTAGGCACCTGTACTGTCCTTGTGATTTATAGTCCTATCCTGAACAGGGTCCCCAGCAGGAGAGTCAAAAGAAGTCACTGCTCCCCCTCAGTGACTTGTGTGGCTTCTTTAACTTATAATATTAGATTGGGTGAGGTTCCTAGTGAGGGAAAAGGGCTTAGGGTTCATTGTTTGATACTTTTTCACTGGCATGGTCCCTGACTGGTATTTCCACTCCAGCTCTGCTGTCTCTGCTTCATATTGCCTTCAGGGATGATGGGTCTATCTTGTCTTTGTCACTGTCCTCTCTTTCTCTCCACTACTGTTGTCTTCAGTTTTGCTTGGGTACTTGCTATGGTTCACTCTCTTGATCAGGAAATGGTGTCAGCTCTATAGCAGGTGGACCATGAAATGATTACACTAGAATCTCAACTTAGACTTTTTGGTGTTTCAAGAGCCAGGATTCCTCTCGGCCATTTAACACGCTGCTCCTTACACCTGGGTCCCATAGCCCTGCAATGTGGCCAAAGGATGTCTTTAGGTGAAGGTGGGAATTTCCTTTTACTCAAGTAGAATAAAACTGCTCTACTTAACCATAGACTGTTTCCCGCTCCTGACTGAGTTACAGTGAGTTGACTCCATTTCTTTCTTTTTTCTGGCTATCAGCACTTCCCAGTGGGTCTTTAATCTCTTTTTTAATGTCTATTTTTGTTTTTTAAAAATAATATATATTTATTAGCATAGTAGAAAATATATATAATTTATGAATACATAAATATATGAGTATAATATATAAGTATATGGGTACAGTCTCATTTTTCTTTTTCTTTTTACTGATGGGGTATACAATGTTTGGAGACCACTGCTTTTTGCAACTTGTTTCTTCTTGGTTTCTCTTTGGCTACCCCCACTCCCACCTACACTCCTTTGTTTTATGTATGTATGAATGTATGTATGTATATATGTATGTATGTATTTATTTAAATGAGACAATTGCAGTTAAGTGACCTACCCAGAGTCACATAGGTAGGAAGTATTATGTGTCTGAGGCCGGATTTGAACTCAGGTCCTCCTGACTCCAGGGCCGGTGCTCTATCCACTGCGCCACCTAGTTGCCCCCTACACTCCTTTCTTAATGATCATCTCTAGGGTCAGTCAGCCAAATACCATCTGGACTGTTAATGTACTGTTCTGATGAGAACAGATCTTGATTTCTAGTCACTGGCTTCAGTATGGTGAAATAACAGGCATTTTAGTCGTCCTGGAATCTTCCCCTTCTACCATCTGTTTTTCTTGCCCCTTAATTCAGAATATGGAAGCCACATGCCATGAGAATAATTCCTACCCTATTTTCTCTACCTCCCAGAAAAGCCTTCTCTTGGGCTTCCCATGTAAGAAGTAGTTGCCTCCTTTATGCTAGGGACCCTCGTGGCCACGGCCCTGGGAGAGCTCTGTTCTTATTCCACAGCTTCCTCTTGGCTTCAGACCACAAGAAACATAAACAGTGACTGGAACATAGTAGTGTTTATTAAATGCTTTGACTGACCCATACGCACTTTCTCTTGTTGTTGGAATCCTAGGGCAAATCCTTAACCTCATCCCTACTGCAACTGTTGGCCTAACTAGATGGTTAAAACTTAACAGTGACTTAGGCATCTGCAACAGCAGGAACATGGGCAAAATGTCTTCTTCCTTCTGGTCCCACATCATGTGCCTCTCCCTTCCCATGACCCAAAAGCTCTGGCAGGCACCTTTCAATGGGCTCCGTGCTCTAGGGCAGTGGATGGCAAGAGTGCCACTCTTCCCCAACTGCCTTTTCATTTTTAGGGGGACATTTAATGTTCCATTGGAGATATCAATGTTCAGCCTTGAAATACTCCATTCAGAAATTCTGCATTACTTTTGGCTATCTTCTCTCTTAATTGATCTGATTGAAGCAAATCCAACAGTCTCTTCTCCTTTATTGGTGAAGTTGACTTCTCTATGCTACTGCTGTAGAGTGACATCTGAGTGCCTTTTTCTATGGCAGTCATATGGGCTAGGCACCATGAAATCCAACCTGCCATATTCCTTTTCCTGGGCTGATCCTGGGATCTCCATGTTACTCTTAACTGCAGACCTTTCCTTTAGTCTCCCCTTCTCTTCTTAGAGCACTGGAGTTGGGAGATAGCAAGACCTAGATTTTGAATTTCACCTCAGAAACTACTGGTGTGACCTTGGAAAGGTCACTTAATCTCTCTTTATCTTCATTTTCTTCATCTGTAAAATTAGTGGATAATAGTCAATGCCCTCTAAAGTCCCTTCAGTCTCTAAATTCGATGACCCTCCCATTAAATTCCTGATTCTTGGACTCTAGGCTCACCGCTCTTTGTAAGATAGACATAACTGGGATATCCTTGGGGCAGATCAACTGTGGACTCTCTTTCCTGGTCCTCCTGTTGACTCTTCCTAGACATCTTACCGCCACACTATAATTGGTCACTCCCCATTCGTACATGCTTTCTATTCTCATTCTTTGGTTTTCTTCTTTATGTTTTATTCCTTTCATTGAGTCCATATTGTTCATTTTGCTTATTTATTCTCTAATATTATCCTCCTTTTTAATGATTTCCTCCTTAATGTCCCATTATGTATGATGTATTTTTACACCAAAGCGTATGTGAGCTTCTTTGTGTTTGTGTTCAACCTTCCTTTGACCAATTCAGATGAGAATGAGGCTTATTTGTTACCTACTTTATCCACCCACTGCTCTATGTTTTTATATTCTTCTCTTGTTGCTCAGTCATTCAGTTGCATCCGACTCTTTGTGACCCCATGAACTTTCCTTGGCAAAGTGTTAAGCCATTTTCACACTGTCACGAGTAAGCCAATATTCTACTGCAAGAAGTTTGGGTAAACCTTTCTCTCTAAAATCTTGACAGCCTCGTCTCATGGGTGGCACAAGAATATTTTAAAATGTCAATCATTTATACAATGTAAGCCCCTGCAGCATGTTGGGAAGACCCTTTGTGCAGGATTTATGAAAGAACATGGACAAAAGTCACACAGGATGAGGGAATTAGATGGGTTGCAAGCTCACCTTAACAGGATGTACCTATATTGGTGAGATCACAAGATCTCTCAAAGTATTATTGAAGTGAGCAAGAGACTTGGTGTTTCTGGAGATTCCAAGTGGAATACACACCTATTCCTTTGAGTCATGGGACCGTCTATCTTTCATGTCCTTTAACTACTTAAATAACTCAGCTAGCCAAGGTTCTTGATGCTGAGGAAAGTTAAATTGTATGGTTGGCCACTCTCCCCTTAAGCTTTGTCAGAGGAAATCCAAGATTAATCAGGTGATTGCCATTGTGCTAGGCAGTAAAAATGTCTGTGTATTTTCAAAGGGCAACTAATGAAAGACTGTGCTGCAGCAACAGACTTTCCTTTTATCAGCAAAAACTTAGCTATCACATCTCAAGACTGTTTTTTTTTAAACTATAAAATGAAGAAGTTGGACTATGGGCTCTAAGGTCCTTTCTAGCTCTAAATTTTATGAGCCTATGTTTTATGGTGGTGCTTTCCATGGTGCCAAATCAGTCTATTACCCCAATAACAGATAATTGTGTCCTATCTGAACCGCAATGAGTGATGGTGTGAGAGGAATTTTAAATATTTCATGTGTTGCAGCTCTAATCTTGGGACATTTTTCAGTTAAGGGGTTTTTGCCTTGGATGAAATTTTTTTTAGTATTATCAAAGCTTTTGGGAGTTTCCTTCTTTAAGATGAAGATTCACTTTCCTCATAATTTCTGGTGTCTAGGCTATCTTTTCTGAAGCCTTTCTTTAGTAGACTAACTCTTCTACTATGATCAAGTAAAGAGCTTCCACAACTTAATTTCATTGATTGATTTATCAGTGACTGACTACTTGCATTATCACTTAGGATACTGGAGAAATTCTGTTAATATGAAGACTTGAGAAAATGTAGCACAGAAGTGTGCACATAGCACCCACAAATGATTGTTAACTACAGAGAAGGATTTCACTCTGTGTTCTCAGGGTTAATGTGTTAGGGCACTGTTGGTCTCAAAGGGGGAAAAAAATCCCTCTACAGGTTTTTGGCTCCCAACAAAACAAATCTAGTTATACTCTAAGTGAATTCTGTGCTACGTTAGTTAGTATATATGGTGAGGGTCAGAGGCAAATAGGGTGGATGAATTTAAAATTCAAGTGAACTGATTTTGGGGACAGAGAGTCAGTTAACACATCAATGGGATGCTCTGTTCCATGAAAAGATTCCTCTCAAGCAAATGAGACTTCTAGTTTCCCCCAAACTAAGGGGTGGGGAAGAACTGAAATTCAATCTGTCCAAGTACACTGAATATGATTAGGTTACAATCTTCTTGCCAGGTATATCTCAGGGCACCAAATTTAAAGGGCAGCTCATAGAGCTTGTATTCCTCTAAGGAAGTGGCCCAGGTGAAGGTGATGGTCTTGGAGCTTGGATGGGGTAGAGTCAGTCACTGGATGGTAAGAACTGGTTTGAGTTTAGAGCTGGAGTCCTACTCCAGCTGGGAAAAAAATCTGATTCTAGACTGAATTTTCAGGGTTCATCTGGCTGAGGGTGAGAAGGAACACAGAAATATCAGGACCCAAGTTCTGATCTGGCCTAGAAAAAGGGAGAGAGGCCCAGATTGGACCCTTCAGTGGCAAAAACAGTACCCTTTTAGGGGTTATTTTGTGGCACATTTTCCCTAGATAGGAAGAGAAACCCAGCTACCAACTGGAACGGAAATTGAGAGTTGCGTTGGTCCTCTACTCCCAGAGGGGCAGGCCCTTCAGATGGGACAAGCGAATGAAGGGATACACAGAAATATTTTCATGGCTAAAAACTTGAGATGTTAGGCAGCAGAACTGTGGTAAAGTGTGGTGGGTCAATCAATCAACCAGCAAACATTTAATTGCCTACTATGTATCAGGCATTCTCAGAGTGGAGTGTTCAGTAGCCAGAGGCCCTGCAGGTGACATGAGCCATCTTGGTAAGGGTAGAGAAAGCTTCCTCAGATCTAGAAGTCTTCAGCTGTCTCTGAGGGTGGGGTAAAGGGAAGGGAAGAGGAGAGGAATAAATGCTTATTAAGGACCTATTATATGCCAGGAACTATGCTAAATGCTTTACAAATATTATTTAATTCTTACAACATCTCAGAGAGGTAGGAAAGGTCACTTCATGTGGCCAACCCCTCAGCCACAGGAACCTTTGCTCTTTCCTTCTGAGTTGTGCCCTCCTCACTTCTCCAACTTTCTTGCTGACTGGAGGATGCAGTGTGAGCTCAGTGCCAATATGTACCTGGAATTCAGACTGAGGTGACCAGTCACTTGGCTGCTTGTTCTGAGCTATGAAATCAAGGGCTACTGTTCTAGGAGAGCCAGTCCTCAGGAGGTGGGCATGAAGAGTCTAAATTTCAATAACTTGGCCAAAAAATCCCTGGACTAGGAGTCAGAACATTGGGGTTTTAGCACCCTCTCTGACACGAATTCTGGGTCTCTGGGTCTCTGCGGTTAAAGAGGGCTGGCCAATGTTGTTTCTAAGCAGTTCCAGTACTAACAGTCTGTGAATCTGAGATTTAGGATCCATCTGATTCTGCCTCTGCTCTGCCTCAATTTCAGTAAAGTTTGAATGATCTTCCTCTGTGACCAGGGGCAAGTCATTTCCCCTCTCTGGGGCTTAAATTGCCGTCTTCCATAAAATGGAGGTGTTGCACTAGATTAGGGGTTCCTAACTTGTGAATTTAGGGTTCACTTAGGTTAAGTGAACTTGCAAAGTTGTTTTAAAAAAATTTTCCTTACTATACTGTATTTCAATATATTTGGTTTCCTTTGTAATCCTCTGTATTTTATTTCATGCATTTCTTAAACTCTTCTACTTTATCCACTGGAGATTCAAATTAACAGGTAATAATTAAGAGAGGGAAAGAGAAGTTTGGTAAAAGCTTCCTGTAGATAGGATTTTAGTTGAAACTTACAGGAAGTTAGGTAGAGAAGAGGAGACAGCATTCCAGGCATAGAGAACATGCTCAAAGTCAAGAGTTGGAATGTGTTGTTGATGGAACAGCAAAGAGGCCAGTATCTTTCTTTAAACTGCTTCTTCCTTCTACTGCTCTACACTGTTTTATTACAGGACTATTGTTCATAATCTTTCATCATTTTTTTTTTCATAAAAGTTTTACAAGCAAATTTATATTTGAGTGGCAGCATAGTGAAGTGGACAGGGCACAGAAAGGCCAGGGTTCAAATCACACCTCAGACATTACTGGCAGTGTGATTCTGAATAAATGATTAAACCTCTCTGTGCCTCACCTTTCTCCTTCAGGAAATGAGAGGTTATGCCTCTATGACCAGGTCCTGTCCAGCTCTAGACCTATGATCCTATCATATTTTAAACTGGTACTGCCCTTGGCTGCCATGTTGTTCCACTTTGCACATATGTAATGCGGTTTTTAGGCCCTAGGTTTGTCAATTACAGAAATTTGTTTATATTGGTTAAATTTCTGTCTGAAATTGTTATAAACATAATTGATATCCTTTCCTCTATCTATTTCTCCTTTTTGGCAGTTTGTTCAAATAGGTCAGATTGGAATTGTTTTAAATGTGTAAATGCACTCCATATTTGTCTCATTTTTATTTCTTTCTAACTTCATATGGATTTTGATTCCTATTCGAGGATATCCTTGATGAAAATACAAGAAGGCTACAGGTAGATTTTCACAGCTGTTTTCCTGTAATAGATCACATCATCATAGTTACCCAAATGATTGAATAGTATGGTGAAGATAAAATCTCACTCTATTCACTGCTTATTGATTACAAACAAACATTTGGTGAAGTAGAACAAAATGTAGCCTTAGAGACTCTCCAGTAATAATGGATCTTTCATACACATGTAAAATCTAACAAGATTCCCTGAAATATGTGACCACGGAGATAACTTTGTTTACTGATCTGCTAAGTATCAACATCAAAAGAGAAATCAAATAGGGAGATAGATGCTCAAAGGTTATTTGCCAGTGTTAAAAAGGATGTCCTGTTGCAGCTTATCACCTAAAAAGATATGCATGTGAGAAGTGGTATAAGCATGTATGATAGGGGCCGGTAATATAGCAAGAACAGATGGAAAGCTTGCATTTTGCAATAATATCTAGGAGATAATTTTTAAAAGCTGCAAGGAGGCTTTGGCTTGTTGGGTGAAGGCTTTATGGGAAGATAAGCACATGAGTTATCAGGATAAGAGTATGGATACATTTCAATCTGTGCCAGCCAAACCAATGAAATCATGGATCCATTAAAGTATAAGAAGTAGTATTCAAAAATGGAGTTTTCCACCCTATATTCTAAAAACAATTTGGTAAGGGAGCAATAGAAGGAGAAAGCTGAGAGAGGTAGGAGATTAGGTAGCCCGTTCTTAGCAGGTATTCCTCCCATTTAGTAGACAGAGAATTTAAGATGAGTAAGTGATACATATACTCAAAATTATCTAGTTCATCAAGCAATACCACTGAGAACAGGATCCAGAATTCCTGATTTCTTTCTGTGCTTTATTCATTGACATTTTAAGGTAGACAATGATGCCTCCTTTATGAGATGTAATACGAACAATTAAAATCTTGATGATACATTTGGGCCTTGTGATCCTAGATAAATCACTTAACTTCTTAAAAGACCAGGCAACTCTCTTAAGCTATAAATTACAGGCAAGCGCTGATCTGAATCAACAGTTTCCTTATCACAAGTTCCCTGTACCAGTGAAATCACAAGTTGAGACTGAAAAAAAAATTAAAAAAAAAAAAAACTTAATAAAATTTTAAGAAATTTGTTTTATCCTTCAGATGTTTGTGGGCCATATTTGTGAGCCTGTATTGGAGGGCCATAAAAGAGTACAAACTAATAAGTTAAAATTTAAACTAAAGGCAGTTTTTTTTTAAATGTTCATTTAATGAGTTCTACGGAAAACCTACTGAAAATAAGTAAATAGGTAAGTCCTTTTTTTTTTTTCTTTACCCACTTTTGGAAGGTTAAAGAAAACAACCTTTTCAATACAGAGAGGCAGCTTGGTGTAGTGGAGAGAGGATCTGCATTGTGGTGAGGAAGGTTTGGGCTCAAGTATTGCATCTGACACATAACCACTTTGTGACTGACTATGTGGCCAGTCCCTAAATCTCTCAGTGCTCCAGGTAATGCTAAGATGGGAAAGTTACCATAGGCCAAGGTCCCCCGCTGCATCTTGGGTCATCTCCAGTTGTCCTGATCTATATCTAGCCACCAGACCCAGATGGCTCTGAGGAGAGAGTGAGGCTGGCGACCTTGCACAGCTCTCCCTCCCTTAAATCCAGTTCACTTACATGTCATGGCATCACCTCCCTGACGTCATGGTCCTCTTGGAGAACGAAGGGCAACAATAACAACAACAACAATAACCATACTGGAGGGAAGTTCCTTATACCTATGAGAACATAGGTCTGGACAGAAACATTTTCAATGATCAAGTGACTTTAACCATCTTTAAATCATTTAAATTGAATAAGATTGTAGTTTTCTTTTCATTACGCCAAAGGAAAGTCCTAGAATATTTTTAGATGGTTGCTAAAGAAAATGAGAATGCTCCAGCTAATGCTATTCAGTTGGGGTTACTTACGGTCCTGACTGATGGTCAATGTCTGCGCCTTTTTGCAGAAGAACTGGTATTGCTTCATGGTGCTTATTTAAAACAGCCACAGTTAAAGAAGGTCTGTCTTCATGATTGGTGCAGTTGGGATCAGCTCCCTGCAATGGACAGAAGAGGAGATATTTTAATAAAAACTCTGTAGTCCAACTAATAGTACTGTGAGGTGATTCCAGAGATTGGTAAAACATAACTGTTCATGGACTAAAGGAGAGGGACTTCAAGAGTTAAAATCAGGCCCACAGGAGACATGAATGTATGAAGGAAGAAATGCTGATTCTGTAAAATAGAGAAGGCAACTCGATTTGTGGTTTCTTAAGTTATAGGAAAGAGGATTTCCTGGCTCTTGAGCTAGGATTACAAACTTTCTTTCAAAAGAACCCTCAGGGCAGGTGCTGAAGTTGTGCTTAGAAAAGTGTGAACTTGGAAACCGTTCATACCCTTTCAGCCAGAAATCTTACAACTAGCTATATATTCCAAAGAGGTAAAAAACAGAAGGGTTCCACATATAACAAAACATTCATCACAGCACTTTTGTGTCAGGAAAAACAATAACAACTGGAAACAAAGAGGGTAGCCATTGATAAAGGAATGACTGAACAAATTCTGGTTTATGACATAACAGAACATTACTCTGCCTTATAAAAAGACAAATAAGAGGAATTCAGAGACATGTAAAACAAAGAAAATAGAACCATGTTACAAATATACATAATAATTACAGTAATGTAATAAAAACAATAACAAAAGCAGCTGTTTATTAATTTCAATGACCAATCTTGATCTCAGAGAGAGATAATGAAATATACTCTCCTTTTTTTAGCATAGAGGCAGGAGACTATTGGTGCATAATGTATCGAATGCTTCCAGACAAGTTTGCTCTTTTGGTTAGTTCTGTGGTTTTTCTTTGTTACAAGAGAAATTTCTGGGGGTGGGGTGGCTGGGAGGGAGAGTATATAGGCAAATGAATGTGGTATTAAAAATAGCCGTCATTAAATCTATTTTTCTTTTTCTTTCTTTCTTTCTTTCTTTTTTTTTTTGGAGGCAATTGGGGGTAAGTGACTTGCCCAAGGTCACATAGCTAGTAAGTGTCTGAGGTCAAATTTGAATTCAAATCTTCCTGATCCAGGACTGGTGCTTTATCCACTGCCTCCTTGGCTTCCTATACAATTTGCTTGCTGCCTCCAGGAAATCTTTTTTAAACACATATGTCAAATTTCCTAAAATTGTGCATATTGCCACTGTATTATTAAAACTGAAAGTAGGTATCATTTAGCATAAAGTTTTTAATCTAGTCGTTAGATCCAATATTAAAACAACTTTTTAATTTAACACATTGGGCTTAAAACAACACTGAACAATTGTTATTAGACACAAATAGACAGGAAGCCGTATGTTCAGCAGTTTTGAAGAGGGCCTTTGTTGTTATTATTATACTTACTTCATCAAGCATTTGTTCAATCATAAAGATTCTCCCATCTCCTTTTAGACTTATTTCCTTCAGAAGGTGTCTACTCTCAGCCTACAGAAACACAGAACGTGGTTTATAAATATTCTCTTCTGAGTGATACCTTTCCAATCTCTATTTCAGGCCGAATGTTGGGAACAAACCTCCTGACATGTCAGTGGCTTAAAGATTAAAGTGGTATTGAAATAGGTTTACTTCAATCACCAACTTTGGCAAGTTATCATGGGACCACAAATAATGATAGAGGAGCTGAGAACTTGGTGGCATAAAGGAAATAAGCATTAATTAAGCATTTACTGTGAGCCAGGCACTGTGGTAAGCACTTTACAAATGTCTTGTTTGTTCTCACAACAAGTCTGCAAGGTAGATGGTATTATCATCATCCTCATTTTACAGCTGAGGAAACTGAGGCAGTCAGAAGTTAAGTGATTTGCTTGGGGTCACACAGCTACTAATTAACTGAGGCAGGATTTGAACTCAGGTCTTTCTGAGTCAGGCCCAGCACTCTATCCACTGCCTCACTAGCTTCTTAACAATGAGCCAGTGATATGGCTGTTGGTAAACAAATGGAAGTGGTTAGCATAAAATGGCTAGTTATAAAATCAGTGCCTGAATTATTTTTGGTCTCCTTTTAAGTCCTTTGTGTTTTCAGCATTTTCTCTACAAGTAAAATAAAGGTAATCCTGCACCATGTTTTCATTTTTACTATGAGTACTTGTATGGGACCTAAGGGAATCCTTTGACCCACATCTACAGAGATGTTAACATGGTAGGGGTCATAAAAGGCTAACGAGAGAACAATCTCTTTCTTACGGGTCATTCCCTAAGATCGGACTCTGTCTTTGTAGACACAAAGTTTGGGTTTACATTTAACAAAAGCTTTTATTTCTTAAAGTTAGAAAGGAACCTATTTAGGAGAAAAGGGAGTAGGAATGATCTCTAATAGCATTAGTAGATAAAAAAGACTCAAAAGAAAAAGGGGTTAAGCACAGTGAAGGAAAAAAGAGACTATGATAATAGTAAAGAAACACCTCAGCAGTTACATTATAAAATAGCATTAGTGACTCCATTTTGCCTTTATCCACCATTTTGTGAAGTTAAGTTTGTTAGTTACCCAATTTTGGAGAAGTTCACAAGATTATTCCCCCTCCCAACGGTCACCCAACTTAAAGAATATCTCGACTTCCCTTTATACAGTCTATGGTCCAGCTAAACTGGCCTTCTTGCTATTCCTCGCACCCTCTTTGCCTTTGCTCTGGCTGTCCCCACCAAACAGAGCTTGAAATGGATTCTTACCTCCCCTCTGCTCCTTAGAACCCTTATTTCCTTCAAAATTCAGCTCCAATGTGACCTTCTATGTGAAGTTTTTCCTGTTCCTTCCAGTTGCTATTAGACTATGAGCTCCTTGAGGGCAGGGATGATCTTTTGCCTTTCTTTGTATCCCCAGTGCTTACTTAACACTGTGCCTGGCACTTGGTAGGTGCTTAATAAATATTTATTGATTGACTGTAAGCCTCCCCCCACATTATCTGTATTTATTTTGAATATAATTATACACAAATATGTTGTCTTCCTTGAGGGAAGGAAGTGTTTCATGTTTGTCTTTGTGTCCCCAGTGCCTGGCAATATATGACATTGAGCAGGAGCTTGCTAAATGTCTGTTGGTTGACTAGTTGTTTAAAAGATTCCTTCTGTATGTATGTCCCTAGGCTTCTAAGACAGACCCTCTCATGGAGGAGAGGGATTAAGATCTTGGCAGATGTTCAATTCCAAGGCTCATTCACTAGAACAACTCTGAACTCTATGACTTGGCAAAAACTACCCACAAAGGGCAATCCAACAATGCTACCACAGAGAGCAAATTTTTTCTCTGCCACTTATTAGTTGTATCATGTTGGGCAAGTAATTATACTTCACTGAACTTCCATTTCCTAATTCATAAAATGGGAATAATAAGATTTTCATTCACTTACCTTACAAGGTGGCTATGCAGAAAGTACTTTGAGCTAATATTTCTAAATGTCGTTTGGGTCCTTCAAAAGATTTTTGTGATTAGTTCTCTTTTTAAGAGGTCTTTCAAACAGTTTCTAAGAATTTGAGAGATTAATAGGCAGAATTGTACAATGGGAAAAAAAGCTAAATTGGATGAAAATTGAGGAGATATGAATATTAGTTCTTACAGTGCTCAGGTTAGTGATTTAGATCATCATTTAATCTCTTTTGATTTGTTTCCTTATCTGTAAAATAAAAAGGTTGGACCAGTTGACTCTTAAGGTCTCTTCTACTTCCTAAAATTTTGGGATTCTGTTTATTAAATGTACTCATTTTCTACCTCTCCATTTAATTGTTGCAAATGGCAGTGCTATCCCCTGCACTAGAGAAGGCAATCACAAAGAATAAGGGTTGTACATACTGAAAGAAGGTCTTCCTTTCCTTGAAATGGTCTTATCGTCTTTTTATTCATTATGTCCCTTGTAGAGTCTGAGGTGCTTTGGTTGTTTTCATTTACTAAAGAAGAACATGAAAGAGTTAAGATTCAAAGAAATATTCTCTCCTTGTAGTCCAATGGCAGATGAGGCAATCTATGTTCAAGGGAGTGGTGGGGAATAAAGAAAATTAGATAGGAGAATCTGCTCCATTAACCCTGTAAGAAGAGTCCCTACAATTTCCTCATGAAGTTTTCTTTTACCCAAGCTCCCAAACTTCATCATCCTGTTTCTGGGGCATTTTGGCTGATATATCTTTATTTGTTTTTTATTTGTTTTTGTTTTTTGGCTAGGCAATGGGGTTAAGTGACTTGCCCAGGGTCACACAGCTAGTAAGTGTTATGTGTCTGAGGTCGGACTTGAACTCAGGTCCTCCTGAATCCAGGGCGGGTGCTCTATCCACTGCGTCACCTAGCTGCCCCTGATATAGCTTTAATTCCAAGGAAACGTCAACTAAGCAGAAGGGTGTCAATATATGAGTTATTGTAGTGGGTGGTTAAGTACATTATTTTCAGGTGCCTGTTGCCATTATCAAGTTTTATGAGACACTCTTAATTTGTTGAAAACATTAAGGGAAAACTCACCTGCACGCAATTGGCTACCATAATGTCCATTTTGACCTTCTGTTGCTGTGCTTGGAAAATGCCTGTCATAATTTACTGGCTTGTTGGTAGAAATATTCTGGCAAATGACATAAATAGTGCATTTTAAAAGATAACCCTGAAATTTTTTTTCTTACTGAGCACACAGTGATAGCTAATTCATTTTTTTAAAAAGGCAATGTTTGAAACAAAAAGAAGCAGTGACAAATAAAAGTTAGCAAATTAATCTTCAAAACAATGAGCTTCTATATAATATGTACATAAAATATGTATTTAGATTCAGTTAATATTAAGAACTATTAGAATACCAAAGGAAAAAGAAAGCCTAGAGAATCCAGAGCAGATAACCATGATGACAGAAACTTCAAAACTAACTGAAAGACATCAAATTTTAAAAAGGTATTATATATTAATTTGGACAAGATAATAATGGTTGCAAGAAAGGATCAAGCTCCAGTATTGACAGTTAGAACATCAAGTAGATGTGATATATTTAAAAGGAGATGAAGAATACTTCAGGTTCTAAAGGAACTGAAACGATCTGCCAACAAATTTCCACAGCTACAAAAACCATTACCACTATCAGTGGAGATAAGAAAACTTATAAAAAGATTTTTAAGAGTTAGGTGGATTAGAATGTTAAGAAAGGTAAAGGCAAAAAATGTAAAGTAAAATCAATGAGTAAATTAGATTATATACAATCTATATACATATAGTACAATTACATACATATTATATACATATATAAACAATTATATACATATAATAAAATTATATACATAGTAGAAACATGTCTTTTCACAAATGGTTTCTCTCTACAAAGATATGGCAACAAAGTGTAGGTAAGAGACAGTGCTGTGGAGAAAGGAGACCTAACCCCTGAAAGCTAGATTGTATATCACCTCTAGCAATGAACTTAAGGCTTATTTTCTTAATGAGAGAAACAAATAAAAAATAATTCAAATAGCTATGTTAAGATACAAGTTATATGTTGATGTTTAAAATATTTTTAAAAAGTAGATAGGTTATCTTCTGATTCAGTGTAAAGGAAAACAAAACATTTAAAGTCAATGTAGAAATTAGGGAGATATGTACTCTATGTGACACTGGGCAATTCATATAACCTCTCAGTAGCCCCAGGAAACTCTCTGACACAATCAGGTAGAAGGGTATGCAGAAAAGTTGTTTATCTGCATTGGTAGAATGCGTTGCCTAATGGGTCATTCCCTTCCCTGATGAAATCATAGGTCCAAACCCCAAATATCAAATCAGAACTAAAAGAAACCTGAACACATGGAAATTTGAGACAAGATTATAGATTTAGAGCTGCAAGGATTTCTCGGGCCATTTAGTCCAATACTCTTGTTTTACAGATGAGGAAACAGGCTTGGTGATTAAATGACTTGCCCAGGATCATATAGGCAGTGAGCAATAGTCAAAGCAGGTACTTGGGAACTCTGAACTCCAAATCTAGCATTGTTTGTATCACACCAAGTAGTCTCTGGAATAAATATAGAAAACAATGCTGTATATTTAAAAAATCTAATCACTGATTTTGTGAATATGCATTAAGTCCTTTGTAACATTGGGGGCCACTCCCTGAATTATGTCTCACTATAGCAAGTTGTGGTCTTCACATGACTCCTTTAAAAAAATTTATTTTTCAGTTAATCGGCATTTATTTTCTCACTCCCTCCTCCATTGGAAAAAAAGAAAAAACAAAGTTCTTATTACAAACATTCATAGTCTCCATGTTGACTGTTTTCAATATCCTCTCCCAACCTCTCTGCTCATCTCCAATCTTACATCTCCAACTGCTTTTCATATAGATACTCGAACTACATTCGTCTAGTAGACATCTTAAATTCAACTTGTCCAAAACTGAACTTATTATCTTTCTCCCTAAACCCTGCTCTGCCCAGCCCCCACCCCAAATTTCCTACTACTGTAGAAGGTAGCACCATCCTCCAAGTCCTTCAGGTTTACAACCTAGGAGTCATCCCTGACTCCTCACTATCTCTCTCCCCCATATCCAATCTGTTGCCAAGGTATGTTGATTTCATCTTTGCAACATCACTTGAATATGTTCCCTTCTCTCCTCTGACACTGCCACCACCCTGGTGTAGGCCCTCATCATCTCATTCCTGGACTATCATGATCCACCAGATCTGCCTGCCTCAAGTCTCTCCCTACTCCAATCTATCCTCCATTCAGACAGAAAAGTGATTTTCTTTTTATTTCTCCCCCCCCCACTTAATAGTATTTTGTTTTTTCCAATTACATGTAGAGATAGTTTTCAACATTCAATTTTTATAAGATTTTGAGTTTCAAATTTTTCTCCCTCTTCTTCCCCCTCCCCAAGACAACAAGCAATCTGATATAGGTTATACATGTACAATCATTTCAAATATATTTCCACATTAGTTATGTTGCGGAAGAAGAATCAGAACAAAAGGGAAAAACCACGAGAAAGAAAAAACAAAAAACAAAAAAAATGAAAATATACTTCAATCTGCATTCAGATTCCACAGTTCTTTCTCTGGATGTGGACAGCATTAAGTGATTTTTTAAAACGCATGTCTGATCACAACACCCTCCTACTTTGTAAACTCCAGTGGCTCCCTATTGCCTTCAGGATTAAACACAAAATGCTATGTTTGGCATTTAAACCTCTTCACAACCTAGCCCCCTCATATCTTTTCTGATCTCCTTATACCTCATTCCCTGACGTGTATTCTTTGATTCAGGATACTGGCTCCTGGCTGTTCCAGGAATAAGACAATCCATCTCTTGGCTCTGGGCATTTTCTTTGGTTGTCGTCCATGCCTGGAATGTTCTCCCGCCTCAGCTTTGCCTACGGACCTCCCTGGCTTCCTCTAAGTCCCAACTAAAATCCCATCTTTTATTGGAAGCCTTTTCCAATGCCTCTTAATTCTACTGCTTTTCCTTCTGTTAATTATTTCCTATTTATCCTTATTTGTATATATCTGTTTGCATGTTGTCTCCTACATTAGATTGTAAGTTCCTTGAAAAGAGGAACTGTCTTTTACTCTTTTTGTATCCCCAGTGCTTAGTACAGTGCCAGGCACATAGTAGGCTCTTAATAAGTGTTCTTTGTTTGATAACTGACTGAAACAAATTCCCACATTGGTCATGTCCAAAAATATTTCTCATTTGGCATCTTAAATCCATCACTTCCTTGTCAAAAGCTAGTATTATTTACTTTCTTAGGGTCCTAGAGGTAACCCTGAGCATTTGGGTTTCTAATACTATTAATCATTAGCCCTGTCCATTATGTCTCCTACTAACAATTATCGAGCAGATTAGTAGACATTTAGAAAAGATATTTACTAAGGAGGTTGAGTAAGAATAGTTTATACAAAACATTATCCCCAAATTCTGGGGCATACTCACAAATATACACAAATCCATGGAAACAGTAGACTCAAACTTAGAGTACAATGATAGTAAGAAACACTGTTAGGATTCATGTAAGGTAAAGGGATAATTCACAACTACTGTTGCTTTGTGGCCTGGATGTTTTTTTTTTTTTTGTTTTTTTTTTTTTTTTTAGCTAAGCAATAGAATTAAGTGACTTGCCCAGGGTCACACAGCCAGTAAGTGTCAAGTATCTGAGGCTGGATTTGAACTCAGCTCCTCCTGACTCCTTCCTTCCCTAGATGGCACACAATCTGATATAGCTGATTATCTCTTTTGATTAGGTCTAGTTTTGCTTTTGCTTTGTCTGAGATCATAATTGCTATTCCTGCCTTTTTTACTTCAGCTAAAGCATAATCGATTCTGTTCCAGCCCTTTATTTTAACTCTGTGTGTGTCTTTCTGTTTCAAGCATGTCTCTTGTAAACAACATATTGTTGGATTCTGATTCCTAATTCATTCTACTATCCATTTCTATTTTATGGGTTATGGGTTAGCTCATCCCATTCACAGTTATGATTACTGTATATTTCCTTTGATGCTATTTTTTTTGTCGTTTTCTTTTTATCCTGTCCCTCCTTAAAAGTCTGTTTTGCTTCTGACCTTAATCTGCCCTTCCTTTTATCATTCCCCTCTCCCACAACTCTTATCTCCTTCTCCTCCCATTTCCATATTGGGTAAGATAGATTTCTATACTCAACTGAGTGTGCATATATGTTCTTCTCTCTTTGAATAAATTCTGAGGAGAGATTCAAGTATTGCCCACTCCTCCCCATTTCCCTCTCCACTATAAAAACTTTTTCTTGTGTGCCTCTTTTATCTGAAAAAATTTTCCTCATTCCACCACTCCCTTCCTTCTTCTCCCAGTGCATTCCTCTTTCTCACCCCTACATTTTTTTTTTTTTGGAGATTATCCCTACACAAATGACTAATACCCATGTCCTCTATGTAGACTCCTTCTGACTGTCCTAATAATGATAACGTTGGTAGGAGTTACATATATCATCTTCCCATAAAGGAATGTAAACAGTTTAACTTTATTGAGACCCTTATGATTATTCTTTCATGTTTACCTTCTCATGGTTCTCTTGAATCTTCTGTTTGAAAGACAAATTTTGTATTTTGCTCTGGTCTTTTCATCAGGAATGCTTGGAAGTTCTCTGTTTCAGTAAATGTTCATTCTTCCCCTTGAAGGATTAAACTCAGATTTGCTGGGCAGGTTATTCTTGGCTATAATTCTAGTTCCTTTGCCTTCTGGAATATCATATTCCAAGCTCTCCATTCCTTTAACATAGAAGCCATTAGATTTTGTGGGATCCTGACTGTGGTTCAATGATATTTGAATTATTTCTTTCTGGCTACTTGCATTATTTTCTCCTTGACATGAAAGCTCTGAAATTTGGTTATAATATTCCTGGGACTTTTCATTTTGGGATTGCTTTCAGGAGGTAATTGGTGGGTTCTTTCCATTTTTATTTTACCATCTGGATCTAAGATATCAGTGCAGTTTTCCTTGATAATTTCTTGAAATATTATGTCTGGGCTTTATTTTTTATCATGGCTTTCAGGTACTTCAATAATTCTTACATTATCTCTCCTCAATCTATTTTCTAGGTCAGTTGCTATTCTGATGAGGTATTTAATATTTTCTTCTATTTGTTCATTCTTTTGATTTGATTTTATTGTTTCTTGAAGTCTCATGGAGTCACAAGCTTCCACTTGTTGAATTCTAATTTTTAAAGAATTATTTTATTCAGTGAACTTCTGTTTGTTTTCAGGCAATTGGGGTTAAGTGACTTGCCCAGGGTCACACAGCTAGTAAGTGTCAAGTGTTTGGTATGAGGCCGGATTGGAACTCAGGTCCTCCTGACTTGAGGGCCATTGCTCTATGCACTGTGCCACCTAGCTGACCCCTATTCAGTGAACTTTTGCACCTCTTTATCCATTTGGCCAATTCTGCTTCTTAAGGAGTTCTTTTCTTTTTTACTATTAGACCAGTTCTGTGTGTGTGTGTGTGTGTGTTTTTAAGAGATGCTATTTTCTTCTGTGTGTGTGTGTGTGTGTGTGTGTGCGCGCGCGCGTGCGCCTCTAACCAGGCTGTTAATTCTCTTTCTTTCCTTTTTTAAAAAATTATTTATTTATTTATTTGTTTATTTTTAGTTTTCAACATTCACTTCCATAAGATTTTGAGTTTTAATTTTTCCCCTCTCTCCTCCCCCTTCCCAAGACAGCATGCAATCTGATATAGGCTCTACTTGCACACTCATATTAAGCATATTTTCACATTAGTCATGATGTACAGAAGAATTAGAACTAATAGGACGAACCACGAGAAAGAAGAAATAAAACAGCAAAAGAAAAGGAGAGCAAATAGTATGTTTCCATCTGCATTCAGATTCCATAGTTCTTTCTCTGGATGTGGATAGCATTTTCCATCATGAGTCTTTTGGAGTTGTCTTGGATCCTTGCATTGCTGAGAAGAGATACATCTATCAAAGTCATTCATTGCACAATGTGGCTGTTACTATGTACAGTGTTCTGGTTCTGTTCATTTCACTCAGCATCAGTTCATGTAAGTCTTTCCAGGTTTTTCTGAAGTCTGCTTGCTCATCATTTCTTATAGCATAATACTATTCCATTACATTCATATACCACAACTTGTTCAGCCATTCCCCAATTGATGGGCATCCCTTCAATTTCCAATTCTTGTCATTAATTCTCTTTCAACATTCTCATTTCTTTTCCCAATTATCACTCATCTCTTTCTTTGACTCTTCCAGGAACTGTTGCAGGCTTAGGGTCCAATCAGCATTTTTCTTTGAGGCTTTGTTTGAAGCTGGTTTCACATTATTGTTTTCTTCTATGTTCATGTCTTGGTCTTCCCTATAACTATAGTAGCTTTTTATGGTCAAGTTCTTTTTCTGTTGTTTGCTCATTTTTCTAGACTATTTTTTGACCTCAAACTTTATGTTAAAGCTCACCTTCTTCCTTTACAACTAATATGGGTATATAAGCAGCAATTAACTTCATAGTAGTTTCCTTGCTTAAACTCACCATAAGAAGCAACAGGCAAGTAGACCAAATATCCAGTGATATTATGTCTTTGGTGACACAATGAAAATTAACTTCACAAACTCCTTTACATGCATCTCCCCAGAAGACCTATGAGGGTATTGTCCCATTCAGTTCTAACTTCTTTATATCTTTTGGTGTCATTTATAGTCAGGGTGTCAATATGGATGTGGTTCAGTTCCTTCAGTAGTATAATAATTCATTAGTCATTACATAAAGAATCTACAGTAAGGAACTTATACTTTAATACTCCAGTATATCTACAATCTCATTAATATGGGTATGCTCCCTCAATCAGTGTAAGTCACAATTCATCCACACATTCTCATCTTATGCAATTATTGTCTATAGCTTCCCTAGAGTATCTACCTAATATGCCAGAAGCATTCCTTTAGTTGTTTGTTTTACATTTTGTGTGTTCTAGGGAAGCACTTAAGACTATCCATCTACTATTTCTTGCTTTCATTATATGACCATCCCAAGTCATTGTACAATAATACATTTACTTGGTGATATCCCTCCCAAAATTTTGACTGCCCAAGGTATCATTAGTAATAGATCTCCACCTACTTATGCCTATCTGGGTTACATATAATTCTGACTCTTTACTGACTGTAATGTTCCATGATTTGTAGCAATATATTACCAGAAGAAGGTTGTTGTTTAAAAAATGCATTTTTGTTTCATTGAGCATCTTAGGGTCACTGAAAGAACTGCACAATTTTCCAAATATAATCTAGGATGTTTTCTTATCTCGTGATTCAATTCTAGGCCCAGCACATCTGCAGTGTTATCCTAACTCATTGAATTGGCCATCCAGTTGCATGACATAGCATAGACCAGTGTTCTCCAGGGTGAAAACTACTGAGGGTGCTCAAAATGATTCACTTTGGTATAAGAAAAAAAAATTAGAGCTTCTATTTATATATTTCCTATTTTTTTTTAAAAAAGAAAGGAAGCTTTACTAACATTTATTACACAGAATCACAGTGGTGACCTCACTTTGTCCATATGTCAGATGGATAAGCGTTATATACAGTATATGAAGTATTTTAAGGGAAGAATGGAGTTCCACAAAATGACAGGGTTGACAGTGACATCCTCATTCATTTATTTTCAGTGTAATGGATTGAATTTACATACATTTGGTTAAGTGAATCTATAGATTTCATTATTTAGTTTTAACTAAATTACATATCACACAATGGATATGTTGCTTTAAAAGATTTTTTGCAAAGAAACCATAGGTTTAAGGACATACTAATAATGGGAGCACAACATTACCAACATCAAGAAAATGGCAGAGCTGACTCTTCTAGTCTTAGCGGCAGCCCTTCATGAGGCACGTTACAAAGTAAAAACAATAAAGATTAAATCAGAACTGATAAAAAGTAAGCCCAAACAATTTGAAACTATCAAAATTATGATATTAAATATGGGTTTATATCCACTGTTAATAGTTAATCTCACCTTAAGTAATTAATGATACTACAAAACCATTACAATTAGCAAGTTATTTAAAAAAACATTCATAGTCATGAATAACTTTTCCATTGTTATTCAAAGTCATGTAATAATCCAGTGCCATACCAAATTTCACTGAAGATAAATGTTTATGAGTCTTTTTTTCTTTTTGAGGTTTCTTATTTAATACAGAAAGACAAAAGTCAGATACCACTGGAGAAACTCATATGCTTATTGCCATAGTAAAAATGGCTGAAATGATACACGGAAAACAATACTGTGCCAAACTAAAAATCGATCCTTTGTCAGAAAATACTTTTGGAAGATGTATAGAAAACGTTGTTGAAAATTAGAAGAAATGTGTAGAAAATTACACAGTGTGGGAAGTTTGCTTCCCACAGAGTTGGATGAAAAGTACAAATGTGTCTAACATGATTCCTTCTTGTTACTGTTGTTGAGTTGTTTCAATTGTGTCTGACTCTTTGTGACCCCATTTGAGGTTTTCTTGGCAAAGATACTGCAGTGGTTTGACATTTTCTTCTCCAGTTCATTTTATAGATGAGGAAACTGAGGCAAACAGGGTTAAGTGACTTGCTAGGATCACACAAGTAGTAAGTGTCTGAGGTCAGATTTGAACTCATGAAGATGAGTCTTTTTGACTTCAGTCCTGACACTCTATCCACTGTGCCACCTAGCTGTCCCTAACATGCTTTAGGTTGTTATATTTGCTAGATTCTTTTTCAAAACTGAAATATACAAAGAATTACTTTTTTTTGTGAGATGTGAAAGGAAAGATATACTAGAGAAGATAATAGTCTCAATAGCAAATTACTTCTTTAATAAAAACAATGTTTTATGGAGCAACTGTCAAAATGTAGCTACTGAGGAAACAGTTGCTTTGGAATTTTAAAAGGATTACAAGGTAAGGTTACTGAGATATAGTAGCACCACACAGGAAATTCATTTACTGTATCATCCACAGGCAAGACACTGTAATGAAGAAATTATATCCAGAAGAGAACAAAAGGCTACAGGGTGTTGCTGGTGGGGTTATGGTTTTTTTTTTTTAATTAAAATAAGATCTTCAACCTTTACAATACTTTGTATTGCAGTGGCAAAAGATGAACATCTTCTGAATCCCATGGAGTGGCAAAATGCTGAAAAAAGCTTCAAGATGAGTTCTGGGTTATTCCCCCTTAAGTATTTTACCTAGTCAGATGCCTACCTGAGATCCAATGTCTAGGTTTAGTCTATTTTTCAGTTCTATACTATTAAGTGGCTTGCCTATTGTAAATCTTAAAAATGTATAAAGACAAGTGGAAGCACTCCCATGAATTTTTAACTCAAAAATAATGAAATAAATAGATCTCCAAACTTAGGTTTTTTTTTTTAAATCTGACTCTTCTCACTCACCTTTATGATTTTCATGTAATTCAGCCTGATACTGACTGCATAATCATCTTCATGGATTGTTGCTGAGAGAAGCTATTAAAAAAAACATATACACACATAAAGGAGACATTCACAACTGTTTGAGTCTCATGAAAAATAGCCTAGAATATTAGGGACTTTGAGCTGTATCTGCCTGTGGATCCTTAGATACTTAATTTTAGTTAATAACTGGATATCTCCTCATTTGTGAAAGGACAGAGCCCAGGAGAAATACTGGCAACATAGTGGTTAGATCTTAGAAATCACTTAATTGTTTCTGTTAAATTGACTTGTCTAAAAATAGAAGGATTAGATTATGTATCTATTTGCTAAGATTTTTATCTATGAGATTATAAACAATAAATTAACAAAGGTAGACCATATAATATTCAATAGTAAGAGAGATAATTTGTCCAAGATATTTTTAATATATCTTAGTGCTGTCAGGGCAATGAATAGACAAGATCAGGGGATCTCAAAACCACAATCCCCAAGTCATATTAAGCAGCCTTCTGTTCAGATGTATTAACAAGTTTTTGTGAAGAGAAATAAAGATTGAAATAGTAATAGTAGTACCTAAATAGGATGCAGCATATTACCACAGAATGGCATGGAGTGTAAAAAGTGACTTAAAATATAGCGTCAAAGAGGTATATGAGGTTACATTAAAAAATAGCATTAGCGATTCTATTTTGCCTTTATTCACCCTTTTGTGAAGTTAGTTTCAGCTGCTTGTAAGTCATCTGATTTTGGAGAAGTCATAAGATTATTCTTCCTCCCAAAGGTCATCCAACTTGAGGAACGTCACAAAATTATTCTTTTCCTTCTCAACTCACTGTCCCCTGATCTTCTCTACCAATAGGAAATCAGGTGTTTTAATACGTATAATCCTGCTTTTCATTCCCTCCAATTATAATACTAACTGTATAGAAATCAATGGCCATTATCCTTGACTACCAAGAACTTTGGTCCTGGTTTGTTTCTGCAACTGAATGCATTGCTAAATAAATCATTGTCTGAATGTAACTATTTGTTTATTTATCTTTTATTCCACTGCAACAGTTACAGTGACCAATGAAAGGACTGAGACTGCAAGTCTCTGTGTGACTTACTGGACATTTGCTGAAGGAACACCCTAGCGTGCTTTGATACGTTTTCTACTGATGGACTTCCTCAGTGAAGGACGTCCCATCCCTGGACCTCCATGTCCTCCAGAACCACATCCAGACAGATCTTCATAGAGGTGAGTAGTCCACAAGTGAGGGTTCCATGGGGGCTAGCTCTAGTAGGCACATGGATATTCCTTTGGGGAGGTTCTTATTGGCCTTAGAACAGGGAAAACTTCCCATTCAATACCAGATAACTAAGAACAGAACTCAAATTGGGTAAAGATGGATTTCTACATAGGAGATAACTAAGAATATAGCTCTCAAACTGGGTAAAGACTGGTCTAAAATATAAAAAAATCTTGATGGGTTCCTGAGCTGGCCCAAAGAAGCAACTTTCCATTATTGTAAATTAAAGGCTTTGCGACTACTTTCAGAAAATTTGTGTGCACTTTTTGATTAAACTTTCAGTGGGAGATAAGAAGGAAAGTGCCAGCAAATACATCTATGTGTCTCTCTTATTGTATTATCTGTGTTTTGTGTCTTGGTAAATCAAATTAACTTCTTCCTGTGGCTTGATTAGCCAAAGAGAAAAGTGCAAAATGTGGAAACTTTTTCTGAGGAACTTTCTTTTTTTTTTCCCTTTGGCAATTGGGGTTAAGTGACTTGCCCAGGGTCACACAGCTGTAAGCGTCAAGTGTTTGGTCTGAAGTTGGATTTGAACTCAGGTCCTCCTGACTTAAGGGCCAGTGCTCTACCTACTGCACCACCTAGCTGCCCCACTGAGGAACCTTCAAAGTCTTCAGAAAGATAGTCTCTCTCTCTCTGCATTTCTAAATCTGGCCAAGTTGGGGAGGCAGACAAGAGACAGACAAGAAGGCAGGGAAGGTTTGTTCCCAATCTGCAGGAATTTATGGCATTGTAACCTAATTAGAGACTAAATCTGTGACTGAAATTTCTCTACTGTGAATTTCCAAATTATGGTTTTAATGTTTCTATAAATGTTGAAATGTTTCAGTGAGTTTTGGAGTACCACTCTGTAGAATTTATTTTAAGGAAAAATAAGAATAAAACTGTAAAAGTTAGGTGAAAACAGTGCTTAGACCTTTTATCACTCTTTCCCTATAGAGTTTATTTATTATTTTATTAGTTATTTATTATTTTAGTGCAAGGAAAGAAGGTGACTTTGCTGATCAGAGAAAAGAGGAAAAAAAAATAGGCCTGCAATTTGCAGTTCAAATTTATCTGGTTCTTAAGAACTACCTATTATTAAGTTTTTCTTTCCCATGAAAAGAGAGAAACTTGTTTAAATCAGGGAGCAATTTAAAATTAAGTAAAATTTAATCTAGAAGGCTATTTTGTGTTACCCCTCTATTTCTTCTGTGAATAATATAACAGAACTTAATTGTTTAGGTAAACTAGAAGCAAAGTCACTAAAAGGTATTGGAATTGATCACACATTTGTTAGCTGTTAAGAACTCCAAAGGCAACGGTCTTTCAATTAATTCGTTTTGAATAATAAAAACTTATGCTAAATTGTAAAGGAAAAATTCAGTGGAGTGAAGATTAGTTCTATAGATAGTCTGGGATATGATGGGGAAATAAAGACTAGAGGATTTAAGCTGGGTGGGGTGGCTCACTGGGTGATTTTAAAGTAAAAGAAAGAAAAGTTATGGGGAGATGGATATAGTATACCACCATGAATTTTTTTTCTCTCTCTGGACATGAGCTAACTGAAACAGTTTTTTGTGTTGAATTCCATTTTTATTTATTTTGTTTAACATTTCCCCATTATTTAATTGAGTTTGACAACTCTGGAGTAGATAGCAATCTGCCCATGCTTTCTCTTCCTATGAAATCTTTGAAATTTGAAAGGCTCATTTGGAACTATGCCCAAAAGGCTACAAAACTGTATACCCTTTGACCCAGCAATACCACTTCTAGGTCTGTATCCCAAGGAGATTATAAAAAAGGGGAAAAGATGTACATGTACAAAAATATTTATAGCAGCTCTTTTTGTGGTGGCCAAGAATTGGAAATTGAGGGGATGCCCATCAATTGGGGAATGGCTGAACAAATTGTGGTATATGAATGTAATGGAATACTACTCTGCTATGAGAAATGATGAGCAGGCAGATTTTAGAAAAACCTGTAAAGACTTATATGAACTGATGCTGAGTGAAATGAGCAGAACCAGGAGAACATTGCACACAGTAACAGCCACGTTGTTTGATGACTAACTTTCACAGACTTGTTTCTTTTCAGCAGTGTAAGGATCTAAGACAACTCCAAAAGACTCATGATGGAAAATGCTGTCCACATCCAGAGAAAGAACTATGGAGTCTGAATGTAGATCGAAGCATATTATTTGCTCTCTTTTTTTACTGTTGTTGTTTTGTTTTATTTCTTCTTTCTTGTGGTTCCTCCCATTGGTTCTAATTCTTCTTCACAACATGACTAATGTGAAAATGTGTTTAATAGGAATGTATATGTAGAGCCTATATCAGACTGCATGCCATCTTGGGGAGGGGAAGGGAAGGAAGGGAGAGAAAATTTAAAACTCAAAAGCTTATGGAAGTGAATATTGAAAACTAAAAATAATTTAAAAAAAAAGAAATTGGAAATGCTGGCAGGTGATGGCCCTTGGGAAAACTGAGACTATATGATGCCATTTGTAAATATAAATCCAATAATGAATTTGTTTTTTGTCACATTTAAGTGAGATGTGTTCTCCTACCAAGATAATTGTGGTAAATTAGAGCTTAATGAAAGATATATTTGATGCTGGTAGTAAGGAGACATGCTTAGAAAACAACATAGATCAGAAAACCCAAGTTAAAATCTGGTCTCAGAAATTGTGATCCTTAGTAAGTCACTTCACCTGTTTGCCTCAGTTCCCTCATGTGTATAAAATGGGATAACGATGGCATCTACCTCCCAGCGTTGTTATGAGGATCAAATAATACAATAATTGTGAAGCGCTTAACAGAGTGTCTGGCATATAGTAAGTACTATGTAAATGTTAATGATTATTATTACATAATTACTCCATACTGGATTACTCTATCCAGGGTTGAGGAACCTCCGGCCTCAAGACCACGTGTGGCCTTCTAGGTCCTTGGGTGCAGCCTTTTGACTGAGTCCAAGTTTTACAGAACAAATCGTTTTATCGAGGGGATTTATTCTGTGAAGTTTGGATTTAGTCAAAGGACCACACTTTAAGACCTAGAGGGCCACATGTGGCCTCGAGGCAGCAGGTTCTCCACTCTGATCTATACTGAGTTTTAGATGTGGTTAGTATAGAATGCTGAAAGTTATAAATGAATGATTTTCTATGTATGTTATTTTGGAAATGCATTTGATTGAATTGATGTCACTTGACTGGTAATAAGTTTTGTTTCATGTTTTAGATACATGATATCATGTATGTTATTATGTTTCTAAATTTTTTTTATATTGTAAAATATAAGTTTGGGAAATCATTGTTTCTGAAATGCTGTTGAAAAAATAACTTTTTTTTTTTAATATGGATGCTGTTAGGCTATGAATTAAGCTGTTAAATCAATGTGGTCAAAATGTTGGAAAGCTGTTAATATTTAATGGGGTATATTTGCTTTAAAGAGGATAACAATTATAACGTACTATTGGAAGAAAAGTAGCATAGACATCTTAAGTTATCCTTATCTCTGAGGTTCCTTGGGATTTTCTTCTTGATCAAGTTTATAAGATCTTATCAGCCCTGCTGACAGCATGTGATAAAATTCTGAAGCACTTAAGTGTGAGAAACTGGGATCTCTTCCAGCCAAAGCAAGAAAATTTGCAAATTTGCTTATAGTAAAGAGTTTCATTTGAGATTATTTGACCATCACTTATGAAAAATTTTGAAACTTTACCTCTTGATAGTCAGTATTGCAGTTACATGTTTAAGCCAGCTTAGTAGTAAAAGACCTTACAATTCAAATACCTCAATCTTCCTTTGGCATAAATAGGCAATACAGATCGAAGGTTTACTATAGTCAGAATTTTTCAGAGGTTTTGAGTCAAATATTAGATATTCACTGTGTGTGTAAAGACTCTAAAATGTGGTTAATCTTAACTTAAAAAAGGAAGTGACCTTATATTGGTCACTGTTAACTATGTACTGGAACATGAGAAGAAGAACCTAGCCCTAAACTGTTACTTGTGAAATCTTGCTATTTGAGATAAAATCTCATGGGACTACAATTTGATATTGTTCTGAGTCTGATTTCAGGTATGATTGTCTGAAGTATCATGAAGCCAATAGTTCACCATTTAAGGGGAATGCATTGTGCTGTCCAAAAGGGAGTGCAGTCTGAGAACTGCTAAAGGTGGATATCTCATGAAGGAGAAAACTAGCCAGAGGTTCACCTCTTTGTTAAATGTCCACCAATCAGGATTGAGTTTCATTTGTCAGAAGAGTTCCCTTTCAGAAGGGATTGAAGGCATTTCAGGGTCTCCGTTGGGGTCTTTGGTTACTAAAAGAAACCACTGGCCATCAATTTATTGATTGCCAGCTACTCTAATTAATAAATTGATTATTATTTACCCAGGAACTCTGTCTCTCAGGTTTTCATTCATCAAACTGTGTGACCCTGTACAAGTCACCTAACCCTGTTTGACTCAGTTTCTTCATCTATAAAATGAGCTGGAGAAGGAAGTGGCAAACAACTCCAGTATCTTTGCCATGAAAACCCCAATGGGGTCACAAAGAGTCAGACATTTCTAAAAACAACTAAACAACAATATATAAAATAGTTGTGATATCCTCCTATTTTGTCACAGGAATGGACTAAAGCTCTTGAGGTGACTTCTAGGCCTGATTCTATAAGAACTTCCATTGTGCACACATAGCAGCTTTTGAAGTTGTGCTCTAGGGACTTGTATAATTTAGTGTTAAAAATATTTAAGAGATAACTAATCCAAATTCCTTCTTTGACAGATGAGGAAATGAAGCCCAAGGAAGTTAAGTGACCTGTCCAAGATTAAGCATGTAGTAAGGAGCAGAACCAGGATATGCCTCTGGCCTCAAGACCACGTGTGGCCTTCTAGGTCCTTGGGTGCAGCCTTTTGACTGAGTCCAAGTTTTACAGAACAAATCGTTTTATCGAGGGGATTTATTCTGTGAAGTTTGGATTTAGTCAAAGGACCACACTTTAAGACCTAGAGGGCCACATGTGGCCTCGAGGCAGCAGGTTCTCCACTCTGATCTATACTGAGTTTTAGATGTGGTTAGTATAGAATGCTGAAAGTTATAAATGAATGATTTTCTATGTATGTTATTTTGGAAATGCATTTGATTGAATTGATGTCACTTGACTGGTAATAACCACTCTTTATGAGATCTCAGAGGAGCCTGAAGATTATTTTCTCCCAGTTTCACAATATATCAAGGTGAAGTTGTAGCCTTCAAGTACTGTCTACAACACACTTAAATACAGGTTATCACCTTAACTTTGGTTTTCTAGCTTCTTGGACAAATGGAAAACTGCTTAAGGCTCTGTAATTTAACTTTTATTTCTTACATATAAAATACTGTTTTTCCTTCTTTTTTTTGGTAGGATTTTCCCTTTGAAGGTTAGGAAAATGACATTTCTATTAATCTGTTCTATATTTAATCAAATTTGGTGGTGTTATTCAATTCAACCAATATATTCCAATTCAATACAAAGCACATATAGTTTGTATCCTGGAGGATACAAAGATAAAATTTAAACAGCCATCAAGGAAAATACACTCTAGTAATATAATTTGTTTTTGGGATGGGGGGGGAATTGGAGTCCAGAGAAGTCTGTATCTATGATTTCATAGGTTTAGAGAACTCCAGGTAAGGAAGCTCATCTACCAATGTAGAATATCATGTTGTTCAGTTGTGCCCCACTCTTTGTGACCCTATTTGGGGTTTTCTTAGCAAAGATACTGAGTGGTTTGCCATTTCCTTCTCCAGCTCATTTCAAGGATGAGGAACTGAGGCAAACAGGATTAATAGACTTGCCCAGGGTCACACAGCTCACAAGTGTTGGATTTGAACCCAGGAAGATGAGTCTTACTGATTCCCAGTCCAGCACTCTATCCACTGAGCCACATAGCTGCCCCCTGAGCATTGAATTGTTTAGGGTCACACAATAGGTATACATAGAGATGGGCCTTACACTCAGTTGTAAGCTGCCTCTAAACTTTAGCCCAACCTTACATGGCCTCTCTAGTAATGCATATATTTGCTATTAAATAATTCACTGACTATTCAGGCAACAAGGCTAGACAAGCAATTTTGGGCACCTTGAAGTTACTGGTCTTCTCCTTATACTGGATATGGGTTCTATGCTGACTCAGAGGGAAGGGCTCTCTATCTGAGTCATCATGATCATTTTCAGCAACACCTGGCTATTTTTTTTTTTTTTTTTTTGGTCAGCTCCCATGCTGAGTCTGCCTAACCTTGCTTGATGGAAAAGCTTTGACAAGATTATAGATGAGGTGCTTATAGCTGCAGGCTGAATACTCTGACTAAGGACTTAGATTAAATGAACCTCTAACATCTTTACTCTGCTTGGAAAAACAAAACAAAACAACAACCAAAAAACTCTTTCAACCAGAGTGGAGCAGATCCTGGTAGAGTCTAACAATCCATGATTCCTGGATCTTTTATGCTTTTCTTGGCTGGATTTATAGGGCATAAAAATGCTGGGAATTAATACATTGTAGGAAAAATTCTTTTCTTCAATGCATTCTTTCTCTCATCTTTAGTAGTGTACAGACAACAAATTATGATGTTTAGTCATGTATCATGTTTCTAGGAAAGTTACAAAAAAGTTACCTAGATGTTTCTACTAATTAGGCCAACAGGACCTAGAAGTGCTAAAAAAAAAAAAAATCATAATTTTATTCCTATTTCTTGTCCTGCCCTTTTGTTCTACGTATTCTATACTATATTTCCTTACCTTTCCCATCCTTGGTTCTCCAACTAAAGCCCTGAAGCTAGGGTTGTTCTGGGTATAACTTCTGAGATGAGCAAAGATATGATCCAGCTGTTTCCTCCAATATCCTGAAAGTAAAAGGAAAAATAAAAGCAGACAGTCATTTTGATAATTCTTCTGTTGCTATGTAGGACCAATGATAGAAAAAAGAAAAGTTCAAATGTGAATTTTCTTGTTCAAGTCTTATGCTTTGTTTTTAAAGATTTGAACATTTTTTTAATCTTTTGGAATCAGTATTAGAATGGCATTAGAATTATTACGGCTTAGGTCTCATAGAGATCAGTTATTCCAATCTCTCATTTTACAGATGACAAAATTGATGTCCAGAGAGTTAAGTGTTTTGCTCATTGTCACACAGCTAATTAGTGGCAGAATTATAACTACAACTTAGGTTTTTAAAAATTCCCAATTCAATTCTTTTTCTAAGGTCTCAAACTAGCTCTCCAGTAGAAGCTCAATGTGTCTCAAAATGACTCCTAGAAGATCTGGAGGGAAAAAAATCCAGGCTTCCTTGATTTGGGTTGGCAAATAGATTTGGATTCCTTGCTTAGCAACACCATTGCCAGGGTAATACGGTTGTAAATTCACTGGAAACCTATTTGATCTGTTTATAGTTAAATAATAACAACAACAGTAATGATAGAGATGATTATATTCATGTGAATAACAAATCCAAATAAATAGTGTGAATAAGAGCAAATATTCTGAATAGTTGCCAAAATGTCCTATTGATTTCAATCAAGTAGATATGGAATGGTGTCAAAAACTTTTTTAGACAAACATTTTACTTATATTTTTTAACATTATTGTCATTCCTGAAAACCGCTCCTTCCAATTTTCTCTTCTAACAAAGGAGTAGAACAATAAGGTAAGACCGACATACTGACCCCGTCTGAGAGGCTACATGTCTCATTCAGCAGCACCTGGAGTCTAATGAGAGGTTAATAGGGCTTCATCATCAGTTCTCAAGATTGGTCATTGGGTCTATTTGAATTCTAATGTCTAAGTGCTATTTTCCTTTTCCATTATTGTGGAAACAGTGTATATTGTTTTCTTGCCTCTACTTGCCAAGGATTGCTCTGCATCAGTATAGGTAAGTTTTCCCCAATGTATCTGCACTCTTCATATTTGTCCTTTTATCTTTGAACCACACTTGTGATTTTATTGGCAAAGGAAGTTCCTGAGAGAATCTAGATCTGCATTTGGCCCTGTGTGGAGCACTGAGAGGTTACATGTCATCATATATCAGAGGCAGGATTTCATCAAAAGCTAGCAAGCTATCCTAGGCAGAACAATGGGATACAGTGCTGGACCTGGAATCAGGAAAACCTGAGTTCAAATCATGCCTGAGATACTTACAAGCAGTGTGACCCTAGGCAAGTCACTTAACCTTTGCCAGCCTCAGTTTCCTCATCTATAAAACAGGAATAATAATAGCACCCATCTCCCTGAGTTATTGTGAGGATCAAATGAGATATCTGTAAACTATTTTGTAAATTTTAAAGCTATGTATAAAGGCTATTATTATTAATTATTATCCACTATGCCATTCTGCCTTTCACTGTTGTTTCTTATGCCACAACCACATACTATTCAACAACAATCTTACATTCAAATAACACAGTAATTTGCAGTTATTCTCCAACTATTTGACACCCACTTTGTTTCCAGTTTTTTGTTTACCTCAGTGACTTCTTTACCCTAATTTCTCATTTAATAAATCTAATTCTATATACCACCAAATGGCAAATGATAAAGGGAGAATAAAGGGCTTGGGCCTCTACCTTGCCTTTTTTCTTAAGGAAAAAAAATCTATCAGTGACTTAGGGCTGCAAATATTCTCATTGCTTTCAAAAAACAAAATGTAACAAAACAAAAGCTTGTACATTTTGTTCCCCAGAAAGATTCTGAGGCAGTGGCTGGAACCTCTTGCTCCTCCCAACAGCTTCCATCGTACTCAACAATGCTGGAGGCCCACGATGTATGCCCATGCAGACTTCCCAAGAGGCCAAGAACTCTGATTTATTGATGTCAAAAGCCTTTTGATAGTTGTCATGCCTTGGAGTGCTGCTTTTTTGAATGCGAATGTTAGCTTGGAGAGGATGAGTCTGTGATTGGTCCAGCACTCTGTGCCAGATATCACCTTCATCACTCTTACATCCTGTCTGTTTCGTCTCTTTACAATAACATAGTCTATTAAATGCCAATGTTTGTTGTGAGGGTGCATCAATGAAGTTTTGTTGTGTTTAGGTGTGTTTAGGAAGACAGTGTTGGTGTTAAGGTTATGAGATGCTCAAGTTTTCAGTAGTAAGTGACTGTTGCTGTTGCTGTTTCCAACTTCATTCCTTGCAAGGACTCTGCCATATTTGATAGTCTATGCTTACTCTGGCATTAAAGTCACCCAGAATTACAAACTTGTCTTCTTTAGGCATGTTGATGATAAGGGTCTCCAGGTCTTCATAAAATTTTTCTTTGATCACATTAGGGTTCAGCATGGTGGGAGCATATGTACTGATGATGGTGGAGCAGCACTTTCCTCCAAGTGGCAATCCCATTGTCATGAGTCTGTCATTTACTCCTTTTGGGAAGCATAAAAATTTGTTGACTAGATTAGATTTGATGCAAAACCTACCCCAGCTTCACAATGTTCCCCATCATCGAGGCCACTCCAGAAAAATGCATATCCATCTCCAACTTCAGTAAACTAGCCTTCATTTGCCAGCCTTATTTCACTCAGGGCTGCTATTTGTATGTGACACCTGCTGAGTTCTTGTACAAGAGCTGTTCGTTTTTCAGGTCTACTGGATTTCTTATTATCCATAAGTGTGTGCACGTTCCATGTGCCAATGATAAGTGGAATCATTTTCACAAAAATTTTGCATGTGTTTTTGTATTTCAACTGCAGGGTGGGATCCCCACTTGCTACGGGAAGAAGGCCAGGGGTAGGTGAAGCAAACAATTTTTAGGGCACCTTTTCTAGCTCTTTCCTTATGCCAGGAGCTGTGAGGTCCTTAAGAAGGCTACTCAGATTCCCAGAAAACTGCTGAATACCACGAATGCTTCAGTCTACTGAGAAGACAGCCTGTGCTGTCTGTGTGCAGGGTTGTGACTACAGCTCACAGTATATCCACACCTGCTGCTTTGTCACTGGCCTGTTACCACAGGACTTCAAGGTAGGTAAAACAGTAACAATAAAATAATAAATAACAAAATGATGATATAGTAAAATAGTAAAATGGTATGGGTGATGTCTTTTGACTAGTGCATACATTGGATTTAAATAAGGTAGAGTTGCATCAAGTTGTTGGCCTCATTTTCTCTTCCAGAATCATTGGAGCCCAGTAACTAGATAAAAGTCAAGACAACTAGCAATGGCTCTGGATGTAGTGGATGACCTTGGTGTCTTTGGCATCTGACCAAGCTCGAAGTGCTCCATAGCACCTGCTTCTGCCACATTCATGGCCTGTGGAAACAAAATGTTCACATCTACCTGGGGAAGTCTTCACATGCTTGGGGCAGACACCTCATTAACTCACCAACACCTTTGAGGCCTGTCAGTTACAGTCAACCTGTTTTAGCCTATCTGACAAGATGGTTTTACTGGGGTGTGGCCATTGCGCACACTATAGTTTCTTGGAACCACAGATGAAAGCTGGATGGCAAGTGGACACCAAAGGTGGATAAGCAGGCCTGAAAAGGCTCAGCAGCTCTCACACCAGAGGAACTAGTTCTCCCTGAATACTTCACATAACCAGATTTATCTGCTGCCACTAAAAAGAAGCAGAGAGCTTGAAGTATGATAATTCAGAAGACAAAGAGGATAGGCTTACAACCAAAAATAACTTACCCAGAAAAAAGGGAGTGTAATTCTACAGAGAGAAAAATGGATTTTTAATGGAAAAATACTTCCAAGCATTCTTGATGAATAGACCAGAGCTGCATAGAAACTCTGAAGTGCAAACATAAGAGTCAAGAAACATAAAAAGACAAACCTGAGTGAGCAATCATGAGATTAAACAATAAACTATTTACATTCTAATATAGATAGATGATAAATGTGTTCCTTCAGAACCCTATCATCAGGAGTTATGATGGGAGCCTAATTAGGTAGAAGACCTGGGAATCATTCTATTAGGTTTTGATGATCTTAAAAGAAGAATGGAAAGGAAGGGGTATAGGAACACATTAGGGGAGAAAAGAGAGAAAGATAAGAAAATTACCTCACATAATTGGGGTGCACAAGTAGAAGTCTATATGAACATGGAGAAGAGAGTGAGGGAAGCAGCTGACACTTGAATTTTATTTTCATCTGAACTGGTCAAAGGAAGGAAAAAATACATGTTTGGGTATAGAAATACATTTCATTCAACAGGGAAAGGTGAAGGATGAGGGGTAAATAACAGAGCAGGTAGATTGAGGGACTAGTCTTAAGATAAACTCTGAGGATGTACAAAACTATAGTAGCTCTCTCTGCTCGACAAACAATTGAAAACTGCGGGGGTACCCACCAATTATAGTATACAAATATGATAGAATACTATTGTACTATAAGAAATGGTAAAGGGGGTAGTTTCATAGAAATCTGGGATGATTTTATATAATCTGAAGCAGAGTGAAATAAATCTAACTAGGAGAACAATTTATACAATAGCAACTATATTGGGAAGACAAACATGAAAGACTGATCAATACAATAAAAAAAAAACCCATTTGTTAAGAGCCTGCTTTGTGCCCGGTATTGGGCTAAGCACTTTGCCAATATATCTCATTTGATCCTCCCAACAATTCTGATGGCTAGGTACTATATCTACCCTCATTTTACAGATGATGAAATTGAGGCAAACAAAGCAGTGACTTGCTTGAGCTCTCCCCCAAACCTCTTCAAATACCTGTAAAAATGCGTCTAAACAAAATCTAGAGCAGCAGAACTCAAAAAATGACAGAGTGAAACAAATTTCCAGCCTAAGACAACCTGGAAGGTTAATAGGAAAGGTCTATTGCACCAGTCTGAGAGACAAGTACAGTCCAGCGCAAAATGTGCCAGAACAGACAGGGCCCCAGCAAACCCAGAGCAGGCCTCAGGGGACTGAATCACTGGCAGCTGTGGTGGTTTCCAGACTTCTCAACCCACAAGCACCAAAGACATACTTAGTAGGTCAGTAGGAAAGGTCTGTTAGACCTGGATGAGAGGGGAGCATGGTCCTACCCCAGCGCTGAGACTGCGACCCAGATCCAAGCATGGGCAAAGCGAGAGAATCCTGCCTCAGCGCCAGCAAAGAAATCCCTGCAGTCCCCTTCTGATCAGTCACTTGATCCCCCCCACCATCTGTGGGCCAAGAATTCCATTATCAGTCACTGCGGCAGCCGCTGGTTTGCAGTCCTGGGTGGCGGTCCTGGGGCAAGGAGGAGAGCGTGGAGGAGTTTGTGGTGGTGGTTGTGGAGAGGGAATCCTCCTCACAGTTCCAAGGCAGAAAAGAGTGCTTGTACCGGCCGCGCCGACCTTATGCCGGCTGCGCCGAACACTCCTCCTATAAGGAGCAGGCTGCCAGAGTCATACTCACTCACCAGTCTTCGGTCCTCAACCGGATAAACACACAGAGACGAGCCATCAGGAGGCGCCAACACCAGAGCTTTATTCAGAGGCCATCACAGCAAGCCATCACAGCAAGGCCAAGCAGGAAGGCCAGAGCAACAGAGCAGGAGCAAAAAAAGAGCGCGTGATCTGACCACGCTCGTTCCTAAATACCTACCTAGCCCCTCCTCCCCAGCCCGCTTACTAGCCAATGATTGTAGGGTCAGATACTGGAAGGGGCTGTCTGAGTTTAGCACACCAAGGGAGAGGGAGTGATGTAGGAGGCTAGGACCGGATACAGGAAGGAGGCATATGGGATTAGTGCATAGACAGAGTACATGACCTAGGAAGTCAGGAAGGACACAGGAAGGAAGCGTCTGGGGTCGGTGCTACACAAAGGGACCCAGGAAGTCAGGAAGGTCACAGGAAGGAGGCGTCTGGGGTTGACGTTGCATATAGGGAGGGGACTAAGCAAAGGGAACTTGTCCTCTGCCGTCCCACTCCCACGTGGCACCACCCCTTGCCTCATGAGCACATGCTCCAGTTACTTCCTTGCACCCAGCTTATCTCACATGGCACTGCCCACTGCCTCAGGGCTTCTCCGTACCCAGCCCATCCCAGTTCACCACAACTCCGCCTACCACAGCCCCTGCCTCGACTTCCAAATACCCAGATCTTACCCTAATCTTGCCACAGCACCCACCTGGCAGTTGCCAACATCAGACAGTCCCTCACAAGTGCTTGTGGTCACTCAGAGACCGGAGCACAGGCCAGGAGAGGAGTAAACATCTCACCCTTGATCATAGCATCATGGAAGAACTGAAAATTTACAGGTCCCTAGAAGTATCTCTGAAAACAGCTGCACACACCCCCTGAAGTTTGAGACAGTACACCCTCCACACTGCAGGCAGAGCCCTACCTTAACAAAGAGTTTAAAAGTCAAGTAATTGGCTGGGAAAATGAGCAAACAGCAGAAAAATACTCAGACTATAGAATCTTACTTTGGTGACAAAGAAGATCAAAACATACAACCAGAAGAAGACAACAAAATCAAAGCTCCTACATCCAAAGCCTCCAAGAAAAATATGAATTGGTCTCAGGCCATGGAAGAGCTCAAAAAGGATTTTGAAAATCAAGAAAGAGAAGTAGAGGAAAAATTGGGATGAGAAATGAGAGTGATACAAGAAAATCATGAAAAATGAGTCAACAGCTTGCTAAAGGAGATCCCAAAAAAATACTGAAGAAAAAAAAAAGACTAAAACACAGACCTTCCTAATTCTAGGCCCAGTGCTTGACCCACTCACTGTATCAGCTAGTTGCCTTTATAGTAACCAACTCCAATTCAAGAGGTCTCATAATGGAACATGCCACTTACCTCCTGAGTCCTAGTGAACTTAGAGATTGAGATACGTATTTTTTGACATGAGCAATGAGAATATTTAACTATACATATTTGTAAAGAATTTTTTCTTTATTTCTCATTTGGGAGGACAGCTAGGAGAGTGAAAAAATTATTTAAAAAAGCACTAAATGTTGGTTATTATTATTATTGGGTAGATAGGAAAGAGGGGAGCAGCTTTGGAGCTCCAGTGATAGGACGATAGCACTCATTAAATGTTCTCCATTTGAAAACTAATAATTTAGACTGATATTCTAAATAATTCAGATCACAGTGGATAGTTTTAATCTAGTTTTTATCATTATAGTTATTTGTTGTTCATGACCAATTACCAATACCCTCCTGTATCCATGAAACACCTTTGGTTTCTTCTCAGTGTCTTAGGGCCGCTGGTTGTCAATTACCCCTAAGTTAGCATTGTCCAAGAAATCAGTAACTAGGATAGATTCCGGGATTGACCCTGCCCAGGAAATCAAGATCCATGCTCCTCTACAAAGGAGATTAGGGTTCAGGAACACTATCAATGAACTCCTCTCTTAGGCCAAATGGGCAAGCACATGTCTGCTTCTGCAAGAGTTTCTGTAGGAACTCTTATTGTCACTGAATGCTGCCATCTTTTAGGCTAAGAAAGTCCATTATGTCCCTGGTCTTTGACTTATGCTAAGAAAGCAATTCAGAAAGGCAGAAGATGGCCAGGAATCTGAGGCCAGGAATTCTCCTCAGGCCACCTAAGCAAGTAAAAGCAGCTTATCATATACTCCTGCCATGAGTTAACATTATTTGCTGGAGGAGTGGAGAGGTAGAGAAGAAATTAGAGGGGAAAATTCTACCCCGTCAGCTTTGCTGTACTCCAGAAGAAAGATGTAAAGGAAAAGATGAAGTCTGAAAAAAGCTCAGCAGGTCTGTTGGCAAGATCATCCTGGGAACAATCACAAACCATTAAAATCAATTATGAGTTAGTGTGTTGTCTTCTTAATATAGTGCCAAATAGGCATGTTTATATTCCATAGGGAGAGAGAGATGCTTATCAAATTGACCAAGAGAAACTCCCTTGATCAACATCTCTATAAACTGAGACCCAATACCTATGTTGCATAGTTTGCCTGACATAAATTTCATACTTAGAGAGGCAGAGTCCTTCCTTCTTTATTTCTAAAATTCATGCTATCCTGCCTCTGACATCACCAAGTCTGTCAGCTAACAGGAAATTGTAATCACACCTGTTATAGCTATGATAATGCTATAGGCTTCACAGAAGCCAGAAATGAGAAAGAGATTTTCAAAGGGCTATGTATCATCTCACAATATGAATGATGGATGGCATGGCACCCAAGAAAACCCCTCTGAATACTTGGTATTATTTGAGGTCTCAATATATTTCTAAACCAGGGTGGATCCATGATCACAGTCTTGTAAATACTTCTTCCACCCGTATAGAATGCATCTCCTCCCTTGTCTTGTCTTGTCTTGTCATCCTAGGTGATTTTTTTTCCATGTCTTTCTGTAAATCTTTAATAATGAATATGCACAATGCATAGGAGTGCTATCTCTTAATCTTTTAATATTTTGTGAATACCAGTACAGCATTTGGGATTTATATCTGTTTTTCCTTACTGTCACTATATGACATAACACTTTTTAGTTAAAAAAATTTGAGGTTAAGGCAGGTCTCTATTTTGAGTCCTATTCAATGAAATTTCGTTATTAAAATATCAGAAAGGTAGTCTACACTATGGGCCTAGAAGAAAATGTTCTAGAAAGATTCTCCTGTAAAGGAATAAAGACAGGAAATTAATTAAGAGGCAAGATTTCTGAGTTCAGCTTTTGGTTTGCCATTTGCTCACTTTGTTATAAATTTACATTAACTTTCTAATAATCATTATTATTATTATAATAACTTCATAAAGTACTTAAAGGTTAGCAAAATACTTTCCTCAAAAGAACTTCGTGAGTGAAGTGAGCAGAACTAGGAGAACATTATACACAGTAACGGCAACATTGTGCAATGATCAACAATGACTGACTTAGCTCTCCTCTACAATGATCCAAGTCAGTTCCAAAAGATCCATGGT